ATTTTAATACATTAATTAATTATAATATTGTTGCGTGCGTACGGGTTTGTAATAGATTTGATAATAGTTCGTAAATGATTGTCATTGCACTCAAATCCGATGATAGCAAAATTAAATTTATTTTATCAACATAAACACTTCAAAGTTCTGGAATTTTCCACAGAAATACTCGTACAAGTGTTTAGAATATCACTAAGTATAATCAGTAATTATGCTTCAATCTAATAAGAACGTTTAAACACAACGGAATGCCAAAACGCATCTTAAGAGAAGTTAACTCAGAAATATCTCCAATCTCGCGCTGAACTAACAACTGGCAACAATAACAACTTATATAGCATAAATAATGTCATAAAAAATAGTTGGGTTATAATGAGATTATTAATTTGAAACCGAGTTTTCGAATTGATGCCCAAGAAGAACCAATATTTCCCATTCTGCTTCATTGCATATCTTTCAAAAAAGTAAAAAAAAATCATCCAATTAATTTCCTTTATCATTTTTTTAAATGCGAAAAGTCTGTTTTATAAGCTGTGAAAATGATTGGAGATCTTTCAACAAAATCATCCTTCGTGACACTTAAGCGGTTTATAGCTCGTAGAGGCAAACCGTGTGAAATTCACAGTGATTGTGCAACGAATTTTATAGGAGCTAATAAAGAATTAAGGAAAGCCTTTTCTACTGTTCAACGTGATGAACAGCTACGGGGTTATATTTCTTCAGAAAATATTAAATGGTTTATTTAATCCTCCCTCTGCCCCCCCCCCTCATTTTGGAGGGCTTAGGGAAGCAGGTATCAAGTCTATGAAATATCACTTAAAAAGATGTTTAGGAACACTTATTTTAACACACGAATTTTTGACATTATAAACCCAAATTGAATCCTGTCTTAATTCTAGGCCTTTGGTACCAGCTTCAAGTGATTGTAGCGACTTGGAGCCGATAACACCAGGACACTTTTTAAAACCGGAGCGGCTTTAAGCGCTATTCCAGAATCTAACCTGAATTCAAGAAACCATAAGCTGCATTGATCGTTCGAGGAATGTGCAAAGGTTATTTCAACATTTCTGGAAGAGATGGAGCAGTGAGTATTTATCTAGATTGCAGCAGAGGCCCAAGTGGTGCAAATTGCAACAAGATCTGAAGTTGGTGATATGGTTCTTATTAAGAATGAAAATCTACCTCCGCTACGTTGGAAATTAGGTAGAATTATCAAAGTGTATCCTGGTCTTGATGAGAAAAGTTCGAGTTGGTGAGTTTACGCACTTCCGAATGGTGAAATAAAACGACCTATAGCAAAGCTATGCGCTTTGCCATTTAATTCCTGATTTAGAGAACTTTAATTTTTATTTTTCAGGTTTATTGCAGTTCAAGAGTTTAAATTTATTGTTTGAACCCACTTGGGACTTCAAGGCTGGGGGTATGTTCGATGTAATAATGGCAAATTGTATTTCCTTTCTTTGTACCGAGGAGCCGGCGCAGACGCAAATTTGTTAGGTTTTTACAGCTCGCGTTTTGAGCTTTGAGGTTGCTGTGAAATTACTGGAGTTTCAACTAAGCAGAGGTTCTTCTGAGTTTGTGTTGGTAAGCCGCTACTGAGTTCGGAGTTTTGTGTGGTCTTCGCCGTTCCTCAACTAACTTACTATTTGAAAGTCAATAAAGAAGTTTCGGTCAACGTTATGACTCTGAGGTTTTTTGGGTTCTATACTGAAGTAATATCAAGTCAATTTACAGTCCACTATTTTTAACAACGAATCGTACATGTTTTTTGGTAAATTACTAAAAATCATGTACGATCCGTTGTTAAAAATAGTCGATTGTAAATTGACTTGATATTACTTCAGTATAGAACCCAAAAAAACCTCAGAGTCATAACGTTGACCGAAACTTCTTTATTGACTTTCAAATAGTAAGTTAGTTGAGAAACGGCGAAGACCACACAAAACTCCGAACTCAGTAGCGGCTTACCAACACAAACTCAGAAGAACCTCTGCTTAGTTGAAACTCCAGTAATTCACAGCAACCTCAAAGCTCTAAACGCGAGCTTTAAAAACCTAACAAATTTGCGTCTGCGCCGCTCCTCGGTACAAAGAAAGAAATACAATTTGCATAACATCGAACATACCCCCAGCCTTGAAGTCCCAAGGGGGTTCAAACAATAAATTTTAAACTGTTTGAACTGCATAAACCTGAAAAATAAAATTAAAATCTGTAAATCAGGAATTAAATGGCAAAGCGCATAGCTTTGCTATAGGTCGTTTTATTTCACCATTAGACGTGCGTAAACTCACCACTCGAACTTTCTCATCCAGACCAGGATACACTTTAATAATTCTACCTAATTTCCAACGTAGCGGAGGTAGATTTTCGTTCTTAATAAGAACCATATTACCAATCTTCAGATCTTGTTGTAACGTGCACCACTTGGGTCTCTGCTGCAATCTAGATAAAATAAATACTCACTGCTCCATCGATTCCAGAAATGTTGAAATAACCTTTGCACGTTCCTCCAACGGTCACTGCAGCTTATGGTTTCTTGAATTTGGTTAGGTTCTTGGAATAGCGATTAAAGGCCGCACCGGTTAAAACGTGTCCTGGTGTTATCGGCCCCCAAGGTCGTTGCAATCACTTGAAGTTGGTACCAAAGGCCTAGAATTCAGACAGGATTCAGTTTGGGTTATTAATGTTAAAAATTTCTCGTATGTTAAAATAAGTGTTCCTAAACATCTTTTTAAGTGATGTTTCATGGACTTGATACCTGCTTCCCAAAGCCCGCTCCAAAATGAGGGGCAGAGGGAGGATTAAATAACCAATTTAATATTTTCCGTGAAGAAATATAACCCTGTAGCTGTTCATCACGTTGAACAGTAGAAAATGGCTTTCCATTTAATTCTTTATTAGCTCCTATAAAGTTCGTTGCACAATCACTGTGAATTTCACACGGTTTGCCTCTACGAGCTATAAACAAAATCGCCTTAAGTGTCGCAAGGAATGATTTTGTTGGAAAGATCTCCAACTAATTCTAAATGTATTGCTCTTGTAGCAAAACAAATAAATAGACATACGTAACACTTAAAGATTTTGAACTCCTCTACCAGGACGATATTTAACGTTAAATGGTCCTGCTAAATCAATCCCTACACGATTTTAAGCTCTACTTTGAGTAACTCTTGAAGCGAGTAGCTCTGCCATTAGCTGAGTTACAGTTTGCGCTCTAAATCTACGGCAGATAACACATTGGTTTATATACACTTTCTTATAATATCTCTAGCATTCACAATCCAAAAGCTATGTCGTATGACAGAAGTGAGTAGCTGCGTACCTGCGTGAGATACGTGTCATGATAATGCTTTAATAATTAAATGCGTAATATTGTGATTCTTAGGTAAAATCATAGGATGTTTTTCTGATTATTTGAAACTATAGAGTTTTTGAACCTTCCGCCTACACGCATTACTTCCCGCGGAATCCAAGAAGGGACTTAAAGACAGTAATTTACTTGATGTCTTCAAGGGTTTACCAGAGTTCTAAACAGAATAATTCTTCTGGAAATTCTGGCTCTTTGCACAATCCTAACAATCATAGAAGTAACTTCACAAGAATTCTTCAGGTAGATAAATAACCCTTTATACTCTCTGTAGATAACTTACTACAATTGTTTCTAAATCTTAAACACCACGCTAACACTCGACATAACTTTAACCATGATGAAAATCTTGAAAACACACTAGGTTCTTCAAATTTGGAAACATTTGAACTGAAACTCTTTTTCAATTCCTTCAACATAACTTTACTCTCTAATTCTACACTTGAATTTTGCTGTACATGAATTAGGGATTCGTTTTAGATATGAAATTTTAAAATTAATGGGCGTCAAAAAGTCTAAAAATATGAACGATTTTCAAAAATTCTCCCAAAATATTTTTTAAAAAGATTACGCTAAAAATTTCATTTGTTTTTTTTTTTTTTCGTCCACAGTGTGTTATGGTGCAAACTGTAATATTCTGAGATTCTCAGTTTATTTGTTAATATTTGCAGAATTTTACAATTAAAGTCGTTTCAACTTTAAATTTGAAAAAAATCTAATCCTCTAAAAATCAAAAGCGTGACACCACATCCACAAGCAGTGTATGTACAAAGTTTGAGTTCTATATCTTATCGGGAAGCAGTTTTAAAATCCATGACCATCTTTTAACCATAGCGACAAGCACCAAGATGAACTAAATAACAGCTTTATAAAATAATAATAATAATAAATTAAAGTATATATTTTTCAGGAACCATTACGAAATTTCAGGTACCAGTTGCGAAAGTACAGACTACAAAATTAACAACAGTAAACAGCGTTAAAAATGTGTAAATAGTATTAGAAATCTGCCAATTCGGAGACGTGATTGTTCACAGAGGCTTTTAGGTGTAAAGAGGAAGGAAGATGGTGGTCTTCTGAACGGGTCCTAAAGACGAAACTCTTTCATGTCTCCTTTTTCTCCCCTTGCTAACGGCAGCTGTGCGAAGGAGCGCTGCATGTGAACGGGGCTTTAGTTGTCTGCAATGTCTACGATATCGTAATGGCATCTTTAGTTGCTTCTTTACACAATTACAATGGCAGCAACAAAAAAAAAAGATAAGCTTTCCGCCTTTGTTTTATACTTTGCGAACTACGCACTAGAAATTCGCGCTATGATCGCAATTCGTGTTCATTTGCCTTAAAACTTTGATCATTTGCATGTTCGATCAAGATGATTTTGCATACCAAATTTCGTCACGATCGCAAAAGTCCTTCTTGGTGCTTCGATTTTTTTTTTTTTTTTTCAAAAGAGTGTAAATGGCCCTTAATGGTGACAGTGTTTGTGAATGAAGAAATGGAATTTCCTATTTAGTATATTTTTTTTTCCGAATTCCTATTTCTGTTTTATCGTATAGAAATTAATATCAAGCATTCGTATAAAAAGCTGTGCATAATGCCTTGTCATAATATAATTTTTTTTTTTTGTTATTAGGATCTTTCATACAAAGAAAAGCACTGGCACGAAACGTGTTTCTTGTGCAACAAGTGCCGAGTTTCTCTAGTGGACAAACCATTCGGATCAAAGGCAGAGAAAGTATACTGCGCAAGCTGTTACGATGCAGCCTTTGCTTCTAGGTGCGACGGTTGTAATGAAGTTTTTAAAGCAGGTAATATATGAACCACTCTTAAATGTGTAATCTGATAGCAAACACATCTAATTCTGTAGTTTTCAAACAATATCTTCTGTGGATCATCGAGAGATCCTACTTAATACTTTAATTTTTAAAAATTCCAACATTATTTCTACTCATAAAAGAATTTATTTCTTATACTGTGTAAATCTATAACCTAAAATTATATGTTTTTCTAATGGCTCTAACTTTATTGTCAGTTAACTGATTAAGGCAAAGCAAATGAAGGCTCTAATGCTTGAAAATTTCAAAGTCAATTTGAAAATGCATGGTATAGCTCATTCAGTCAACCTCAGTATCCTTGCATTCGTCATTTAAACACAAAAATAGCTCTCTGGTGCGGCTACAAAATTACAGATTCTTCTAACAAGTCTCCAGTTCCAGTTTGGGGGAAACTGTATGGTTAAAACAAGTAGATTACTTGTTAATAAAAAAATTCCGAATTATGCGTCTACCTAATGATAATAATCCAAATTACTAGTTGACATCTGTCTTACGTTAAGTTGGGTTTTTAACAAAGTAAGCATGTCTACCTAATGATTTGCTACATATAATAATCGACAAATCAACTAGAAATATTTAGATTACTTTTTAATAAAAAAAATTCCGAATTATGTCTACCTAACAATAATAATAATCCTACTACCTAATGATAATTCTGTCTACCTAATGATAATCCGGATAATGTCTACCTAATGATTTAAACGCATATTTATATTGCTGATTTAATGTTTGACTATCCTTATTACTTTTAAAACGCGCTGTTAACCTTTTTATGTTTTGTCTCCCATTTTGCCGGAAACTATACTTATGTTATTAGTTTCATCATTCCGTCTTTATAAATATAAATATAATAATTAAAAATTATTTCTTCGTTACTTTTTAATATAATAGCAACCAAGTACACTCTAAATAAAAAGAACAAAAATACAACCCACTCCCCCCCCCAAAAAAGGAGAAAGAAGAACAGTAAAAGAATAATCAGATTATAACGGAATTTCGTATGCGAATACCTTTCGATCCAACATATAAATCATTAGGTTTTGATAGTCATTGAATGACTAGCTTTTACCTTCGATTGTAGCACAGCCTCGCGAACGGGTTCGCACAGTATTAGCATCAAGTTCCCATTTCAGAAAGGACGTGCAATCGGCCAAAAAGAAGCAGGGTGGTCAAAACGAAGGATTTGAGTAGGAGAGATGCCGCCATTTGAAGAAAGCAAGAAAGGTTTAACCATGGCAAAGCACTGCATTAAGAAAGTAGTGGTCGATGTAGGAAGACGACAGAGCCATTCAGAGCGACTTTCCTAGTACCTAAATTTTCACTGTCAAAGATCCGATGCGTAACCAGGATACCAGTAGCCGAAAAGGTTATTGATAGGTGACACAAGAAGGATACACTCGATCGTCTAGTTGTCATTATTTTCATAGTCCTAAGGTGTCAAAATCATTAAGGCTTTTCACATCTGGAAAACAAAGTTTAAGCCAACCATGGAGGTAAAGCGTGAATATGTAGCTAACTGAGGGAAATCATCGACCAAATCTAAGTTCATGGTTTCTTTGCTTCATTGGTCGGTTCTTATACTACGCTGATATAAAGCTTAGCAGTTAGATTATTTAGGTAAAATCCTTAGATCAATTTCTGTGACGTAGTAGGGTTTACTTGAGTAACAACGAAGGTGGGCTTAGGTCACTTTATCAGGTTCTGTGTTCCTCCTTACTTGCTTTGGGAACATTAAATGTCCTGACTCGGAACAGGGAGCTTACTAAAGCTATGTTCAATAAATTTGGGAAGTAGACAATACACACAGGAAGGGTATACGAAACCCTTTATTTTTCTCTCTTTACAATGATTTCCGGACTTCGGAATACACAGACCCACCACTTGTGGTCTGAACGTAAGAATATAAAAATATTAACTAAAACTCTAACTAAACTTAACTTTGGATTAATCAAACAAGTGCCTACTCCAAGATTGGCCGTATATTAGCCAAAAGCCGTATGTAGTACAGAGAACTGCTAACACTACGATACGTTTAAAATTATCAAGAGGATTAAACCGCTGGCCTTGAAGGCAACCAGCAACCGAGTAAAACTACTATGGCAAGCGGCCTGCTTCTAATAGTTCCTTCCTTTCTCTTGCTTGGCAAAAAGCCACAACTTAAGTACTTGGCGTTCGCAAGACAAATTTGCATAAATAAGTTAAAGCTTTTAATTCTGGCCGGAAGTAGAAAATAAGAAGTGATAGTAAAGATTTAAAATAAAATAAACGTTAGTAAAACTTAAGATCCTTACAACTTATTACCGCAAAGCGCTCGTATGAACGATCCGTCAGAGAACGGGATCTCTGCTCATGTCACCCATTTCATTGACTATCCCTCATCTGTGCACACCAAGCAGTGCTCGACAAGCATTTACGAGTAGTCGGCAGTGGTGTTGAGACCGTTCGAACTGGAATCTCACTGACTAGAAGAAGAAAGATTGTTTTCAACAGTGAATCCCACTTCTAAATGAGCCACGATGACCAAAGAAAACATGTCTGCAGAAATCCAGGACTGTAGTGGAATACTGATCACCCTTTCTTCACAGGCATTCTACTTTCCATTATGTTGCACTTGCTTTCGAGGTCCCCTTGGACTTGCATTTAATCAGGATAATGACCAACCGCATACAGAAATTATTTCCACTAATTGTCTATGTGCTTGTCAAACATTTGTCTGGCCAGCTAGATCTCCAGATCTCTTCTCAATGGAACACGTTTGACGGCTGATGAGCAGTAGCTTCCGACCTCCCCAGGATATCTCTTATTTAATTTGACAAATGGAGAAGAGGTTTTCAAGAAATCCCGCAGGAGGACATCCTCGAAGTCTAAGAGCACAAAATAAGCCAGATAATAGCGGACCAGACGGACCAGACGTGCGCCAACGCCTTATGGATTTATTTATCACATGTAGCTGTGTCTCTTGAATAGAACATTCAGTTCCTTTGAAATTTATTTTTTTTTCATACATATGCATCACATCTACTGAACTTACTCCCATTTGGATAATTCCTTCTTAGTGCCCCTTTTTGTGCGTAGCTGTAGCCACCAAATGCTGTGCCATACGTAATCAACTAATAAACCAAAAATATTTAGATTACTAGTTAATAAAACATTCATAATTATTTTCATTCATTTCCTTCAAATAAGGTGCCTTCAAGGGTGTTTATATGCGTTCATTATTGTATATAATTTAAAATAAAGTTTTCTTTTTAACATTGTGTTGAACACAAAAGACTCAAAATAATTGTATTAACACTTGTATTGAGTGAGAAGTCCCTATCTTTCATAAGTTCCTATTTTATTTAGAAGTTAAAACACGTTACAAAAAATATGTAAACAATCAGAATAGTTCGTTTGTAATAACGTATAAAGGTTATGTAACTTTTTTCAAAAATTCTTCAGAAGTTCTTTTAACTCTACGAAATTATCGAGATTTTCATTATTTAATTTAGAAAAGAATACTAGCATTTATAATAATTACACAAGCTATAAGGTATTTCTCCCGCCTTCTTCACATACCTTCGCGGTGTGATTTTCTTCACGCTGGGCGCGTATTCCAGGCGGCCCGGGTTCGATTCTCGGAGAAGGTATTGCTCATCTTTCATCTCTCCTGCTTCCAATTAACCTAACGTCTCTACGGTGGCGCTCAAACTAAAAGGGGGTTGGATGATGATTCTCCACACCCAGGATTTGGCGACTAGCTCCCCTAAAACTCCAGTCGTTATTTCAAAGGGGGAGTATACAAGGTATTTCTCCTGCCTTCTTGGCATGCCTTCGTGGTGTGGTGGTCTGCACGGTGGGCGCGTATTCCAGAAGTCTGTGGTTCCATTCCCGGCGAAGGCGTTGCACATTTTTCATCCTTCCTGCTTTCAAAAAATCCTAATGTGTCTACAAAGCTAAATTTAATTTTGGAATTTAACTTTTATTGGAAATAACATAAATTGGCTATTGCTTTGATAAATTTATCGGAATTTTAATCCTCCTTTGCTCTTTGCTTCATATTTATTATTTCTATTTAAAGTATTTAAGTATCTTCTGTCTCGCGACGCTTACAAACTCTAATAGCGCAATGCGCACAAGCATGTGCTTGTGATTATCGACTGTAAACATTTGTTTGTTCGAATGATTTTGCCTTTGGGACAGAATTTATGCAAGTAAAGGACCAGTTGCGCATTTTTTGCAAGTAAAGGACCAATTGCGCATTTAGTAAAACACTGAAAGAAATTCCAAGAAAAAAACAACACAACAGAAGTTCAGACGCTTGTCATTCTGTTTGCTATTCAGAAGTTTAGAGTTTAGTTTGGTAAAGAACCAGTAAAATTTTATACGGATCTCTTCGCGATCATTCCTCTTCATTCCGGAAAAAACTTATCAACCATGTTGATGAGGTGGACGTTCAAATTCAGGAATGTAATTTAAAAATTCAGTATACACCAGAGAAAGAAAATCTGGTGGTTGATGCATTGCCAAGAATTAAAGTAGATGAGGAGAGAATAGTATAAAAGAACCGTTTTTGTTTCCGAAATCATTAAATATGATCGTGCATAGTTTTTTCTTTCAAATCAAGTAGCATATGTTGACTGCTTTCAAAGCACTCTAAATGCTTTGCAACAAAGGGCAACATGTCTCCTTCACCTCCCGTTTATTGCATGTTAGTTTTGTTGTCTGATATGAATGCTGTAAAGCTAACTAGTTTGTCGTTAGAATCAAAAGAATACTTCATAAAACTTCCTACTCTATTTATTATATATTGTGACCATTAAACGGTCAATTCGCACAGATCCAATTATGACAAAAAAAGGAACATAGATTAATGCAATGTTTCATTGGCAGAATTTCTATAGGGTAAAATATCATTTGAATCAGCTCGATAGTTCATAATCAATAGCTGCAGCAAATGACAAACGTCTAAACCAAAATGAAGAAACTCCTTTAAAGCAGTTTCCTATGTTTGTAAATGCAGGCATTTTCGAAAGTAAAACAATGGAGCATACTGCAGCATGCAAACATTTCTCTCAGTGAAGTCTCTTAAAACAGGCTATAGAAAAAACATCCAGATATTGTAACAGTTACTGATCCCACGCAAATAAATGATTTGGAATTTACAGTAAAATCCAAATACGGGCCTTTAATTAGTGTCTGTGTAAAACTATTTCTCTCTCAGTACAAGTACTTCTTTTTTCCAAATAGTAAGAGCCTAAGGTTTTCCCATAGTGAAATGCTAATTCTAATTCAACTCCATTTATTCTTCTTTCATAATTAAATGAGAGAAAAATGCTAAATTTTAATAAAATGCTGTGGATAACTTTTAATTTTCCTAGTAAACTTTAAGTTATTTGGTTACTGCAACTGTCATACAAGTCTTTATATCCCCCAAGCCATTTTTAAGCCTCTTTACACCTGCAGAATTTAGAATTTCTTTCTTCCAACAAAATTCAAGGCTTAGATGTAACCTTCAACTGAAGGCTAAATAGATCAAAATTAAATATTCAGCTGACAAGAGATTTGAAATCAAACAGCAGGTTATAAATTATGCAGTATCTTAAAGAACTTTAAATATAGTGATTACATAAAATAAACTTATTTTTTTCCTGACCAGGAACAAAGAAAATGGAATACAAAGGACACCAATGGCATGAAAAGTGTTTTACTTGCTCTGTCTGCAGAAGTCCAATTGGCACTCGTAGTTTTATCCCGCGTGATAATGACATCTACTGCACTACGTGTTACGAGCAGAAATTTGCTACCAGATGCATTAAATGCAACCAGGTAAGTGAAATTGTTCCAAATACTAATCCAGTGATTGACTTTTAATATACAGGATGTTCAGTTTAAAAGTAGGGGTATGTATTTTGAGTGCACATTTTTGTTTGTAATAGTTCTCTGTTATGTTGATAAGCCAGTTTATTATAGGAATAAATGACTCCTTTAAAACAGCAAGGAGTTTGAAGGGATTTTGCGCAGAGTAGGTTTTGAGCACTGTATAGTTCTGCGTTTCGTTTCTAAGCCTTGTTTGTTAGAGCTTTGCTCATGGAGGCATTTCCTTTTAAATCATATGGTTTCCACAGATGAGAGCTGATTTTTGTCTTAGGGTATATGTCTCTAGTAAAAATTACTAAACGCAGATTTCTGAAAACCTGCATCTGTTTTTCGAGTCACTATGGCACCCTGAGAAAATTCCTGGTGTACCATATAAAGAAGATGAATAATTGAATTGTTCTTTGAAACAGCCATATTGTAAAGACCTTATTTAATTCTAATGAATTATTTTTAGTTCGACTTTCCTTTACCTCCTGATATCAGTTTCCTGCCGGAATGTAACATGTTCGAAGATTTGGGAATGAACAGCACTGCTGCCATTCACAGTATATATATATATAAAGAAAAGTTTCGTAAAATTGCTAGGAAAATGTGAAATGTACAGTCTAAAAATGGCTCTCAGATCTTTTTATGAGGCCTGTGGATAAGTTAACAAAATTTATTATTATTGAAGGAATTTCCGAAATTTGAATATTTTCATACTTTTAATCATCTTAGGATTAACTTCATGGAAAAATTCCTGAATAGTTAATGGAAAGAGTATATTGTATAAGCCGCGTCCCCAAGATGCAACGTAGATTGACCTTTAAAAGAGGAGAAGCTGGCAGATGGTGTGGATAAATGCGTTGAAATGGAGGCGTATCATTTCTAACCTGTGCTGTAGGCAAGGTATGTTTTATAAATGTACAGATTTAATTTTTCCATGAAAAGACAACTTTTTTAAATTGAACACCCTGTACAAAATAGAACAAACGGCCCAGAGTAATATCTTTTCTTGTTTATTGCATATAATTTTTATTTCGTGTAGACGTTCTTTAAGTCACACATAGTAGAAATTTTATAAACACGATTATTCCACCTTGTATATACACAATTCAGCATTCAAATTGCCACGTCAGGAAGGAAAATCCATAACGTTGCGCAGATTTAGGGGATCCTAGGTGTAGTTAAGACATGCAAATATTAAAGGGTTTAACTCTCTGACTTCAACAGTTGACACCACGTGGTGCTTAAATGGTACAAAAGCCTGATGGGATACAGTTCTTTTCTATCGCATAATTCTTCAGAAATTGGATTACGTCTTGCGGTTTGATAGTATCATGCATCGAGTTTTTCGGGAGGTGCCATATATCATACTGCCATATATCTGGACATTAGCAGTGTGTATTCTAACAGTATCTGCAGGAACCAGAGGATGGTTCCTTCATAATCTTGGACGAGGAGCTAGCTGTTTTATTGACCCCAATGAAACTGCTCTCAAACACTAACATGATAATGCATCCAGGCGAAATGGAGGCTGATTTCCTATTGCAATAATGAAGCAGGGGGCATAATATACAATAGGCTTACCCTTATAATGTTTCTTCCTCGTACACTGAACATAATACTGATTTCGGCTTGAACCAGCAGTCCTACAAGATCTACCAGAAGCCTTTTTGCAACATAACAGTCTTAAGCAGACTATTGCTTGTGCTATTGTGAATAGCCAGAGGGCCTGCAACATCTCTGGACTAGTCTCCCATCCAGCACATCTGAGACATTATTGCTTGGCCATTGCAAAAGAAAGAACCAATTGTCAGCGTGTCGAGACATTATTCTGGCAATGATTAGTAACCTCACCCTCACTAATAGTATGCTAAGATGTGTAAGTTCGTTATAAGATATTTCTCCCGCCTTCATAGCATGCCTTCGTGGTGTAGTGGTCAGCACGCTCAGCGCGTATTCGAGTGGTCCAAGGTTCAAGCCCCGGCGAGGACATTACTCACTTTCACGTCTCCAGCATCAAAATAACCTAAAACCTCTGCAGTGGTGGATAATGATCGCAACCACCAAGATTAGGCGATTGCTTCCCCTAATCCCCACTCGCCCTTAGAAACGAGGAGTGTATAAGGTATTTCTTTCCCTTCTTAGCATGCCTTCGTGGTGTAATGGTCAGCATGCTCGGCGCGTATTCGAGAGGTCCGAGGCTCGAGTCCCGGCGAGGGCATTACACATTTTTCATGTCTCATGCTTTAAAATAACCTAATGTCTCTACAACGTTTATTATCGGGCATTGTTATCATATTTCATACTGAAAAAATAGGAATGATTTGAATATTTTATTTCATATTTTATTCTTTTGTATGTGATTAACATGGTTATTGATCTTGTTAATTTCAAATTTCTACTACCTTTCCTTCTTGGTGTTCCAGTTTCAGTGTTGAGCAGTGTAAAAGCATCGCATAATCCGTAACAGACACTTATGCATAGTAAATAATATTTATGCGTAAGATATAATATTAATGTTCTTTTAATTATTTATGACGGGTAATTATAAAGCAAAAGTATATAGTTAGTTTGCATATCATGTGGCTTAGAAGGACTCCTTCACCTCTTCCAGTATCCATGAAATTTTCATTTAAGTTTTAAACTAAAAGTTCGATTACCCACAACTATGAAAAAGATATTAGTAATAAGCAACTAAAGCTAATAATAAGAAACTGAAATAAGAAAGCAATAATAAGGAGGACAACTAATAACAAGCAAAATGAATCGGTCTAGACTCAATAAAATTTCAAAATTATAGTCCCGAAGGTTAAACCTTCTTCTTCAACTTCAGGAGTTAAAAAAGCGTAAAATGAAAAACATTATACATACATGAAAATATCAGATGATCTCTGTGCCAAGGAGGGAAATTGTAGTCATAATCATTCATATATGCGGTATTTCCTCTATTTTCCCTCAAAACTGTGCTGTGAATGAAGCATATATCATGATCCATAAGAGTATTGTGTCCCGCAAAGAAAAATCAATGAAAGGAATGCATTGAATGTTCTGGGCGTCATTGTGTAAGAGATTTAATATGTCATTAATAATTACTTACTTGCTTACACATAATATATAATTCGCTTTCTGAATTGCAGAAAAGATTCAGAACAAAAGTGTTTGATATTCTTGTCATTATATAACGAAAGTATGCCTTGTTGAGCAGAGAGTTGTCCACATTAATTTTTGAGATTTTCTCTTTTACTGCTCAAACGTTTGCCCTAATTTCTAGATTTTCCTGAATGCAATTGGATATTAGTACCCATCATGGTTTAATTGCTGACAATGCAGATTTCTTCACATAACTAAAACTAAATCTTGCTCAGACGTATCCAGCTGATTATATTCTCTTATGGTGCACTATGATGATCTAAATTTATCCATCATATAATGAGAATTTACTTCTATGTATCTCTTAATTATGATATAAGGTATTTCTCCCGCCTTCCTACCGTGCCTTCGTGGTGTAGTGGTCAGCATACTGAGCCAGTATTTCAGAAGTCCGTGGTTTGATTATCGGCGAAGGCGTTGCATATTTTTTCTCTCTCTGGCTTTTCCAACTAACCTAATGTCTGTATAATGAGAACTCACAGAAGATTATATTTCATTGCTACTACTCGTTACTATTTAAAAGTATCATAATTGGTACTGTTTTTAATTTTTTTTAGTTGTTTATTTAAAATAAGAGTTCAATGAGTTAACTGAATAAGACTATTGTATCATTTTCAGCTATTTTCTAACGACCATCTGTTTATAGGCGTATTGTTATACTTGGACTACCAGTCACCTATCACCCGGTTTGAGTATCAACTCAGAGCCGGAGAGTCCTCACAGAAATTTTTTGAGGCCTGTCAACATTATACTCGCAAACAATCAGCGTGCTTTCGCCAATCAGAAAAACGCTCTGAAATTTTCGGGAAAATGAGGATTCAGAAAGTATTCCTGACGTGCCCACGAAATCTTGAACAAAAACAGTGAACGCAGTTCCAGTGAGAGAATTGGTAAAAAGAGAGAAACCTTTTCTCTTATGTTTTTTACTCTCGACCAAGAACTATTGTCTTGTTCTCTCCCCCAAGAGTATTTTTATCTGTGTGGAGAGATCCAATAGCCGGTAGCCGGATTTTCGACCGCCTAATTTGACAGCAACCTCCTCGAAACCAAAGAATATGTATCGCGAAATCCCTTGCCTTCGCTTTCCAGCGGGGTAATAGCAAACTGGTTTACATTACGTCTATGAAACCTTTCCTTCTTTACATAGACATTTCTTAGTAGTGTCTAGCCCTAGCATGATTTATGCTTCACGCATGCACAATAGGCATATTTTCAGTATGGAAACCTTCGTCGCTTGGCCAAAGAACATCTGTCTATGCTTGGCTTGGCGATGAATTCACCCTTCGGCGATGAGTAAGTGAAGTGCTGCGAATGTGTGAAATTTGTTCATTTTGTGCCCAATTATGCGAGCAATTATTTACTGGTGACTTGAAAAAACGTACGGGGGGAGCTCTTTGCCCAAATATGCGAGAATTTATTTACTAGGGACTTGAAAAAGCATATGTGGAAATAGACTTAATTCTTTATTTCACTCGTGTTGATGTTTATGAACTGCTTAAATTAATGCTGTAGGTTTTTATGTGCAATAATCAATTAACTTAACTGTATTTTACATTTATTTCCAAATGTTTTTTTTTTTTTTTTTTTTTTTTTTTTTTTTTTTGTTTGATATTTACTGTTATCATAAAATTTCTTTCCAAATTCATCCTTTCCACAAAGGCACGTCTCATCCTAGGCAAATAATTTATGAGAGCTTAACATAATCAATTAATTTAACCTCATTTTACAAATTTGTTTTTTACTTCACATGTACAGTTATCATACAAGTTCATCTTTTAACAGGCATTCAACAAAATAACATACTTTGGTTCTTC